TGGCCGCCGATGTGCAGCATGGCTGTAACACAAGACACACGCATAGTAACACGGGCAGCGGTAACTCCGCCGACTCGCAGGGAGCTCCGCGGCTCCCCCGACCGCCACCTCTTCCTGTGCTACACCCCTGGGAGGAGCTTCCCGCCGGCCGCCCCAGCTGCTTGGGACAAAACGGACCCGCATTTCCCCGGTAGACACCGGAGGGATGCTTCGGAACCCCTTTCGGACCATCCCGCAGGATGGTGAGCGCCTTCGGCGAGGCGCTGGCCCCTAGGAGAGACAGTCGCCTTTGTCCCACCGTGCTGGAGCTGAGGTCATGGTGGAGGAGAGCATCTGGTTAGGGTCGTTGAGGTCTGAGGGGTTGGTGGGGTGCAGTAGCTCACTGGATGCACTGGCCGTCTTCCCCAGCTGGACCTCACATAGATAGTGAAGTACATGAGCAGTGCAACATGGCCAACGCCTTAGACTGAGGAAAATAACATATTAAAATTCACGGGGCACTCAAATCATAGGATCATAGAATGGTTGGCGTTGGAAGGGACTTTCAAAGGTCATCCTGTCCAACCCCCTTGCAATGAGCAGGGACATCTTCAACTAGGGTAGGTTGCTTGGAGCCCTGTCCAACCTGAACTTCAACGTTTTCAGGGATTTTCAGGGATGAGCATCTATCATCTGGGCAGCCTGTGCCAGTGCCTTACCACTGTCACTGTAAAAACATCTTCCTTATATCTATTCTGAAACTGTCCTTCATCAGTTTAAAACCATTACCCCTTGTCCTATCACATATAGTAAAATCCAAGCTGGATCTTCCAGCTCCATGTCATAGCTCAAGAGACAGACCAGTGGTAGTTTGCTGATTGGGATTTAGGTTTTGGTTTGGATTTACTAAAAGGGACACATTTCCAGTATTTGTAGTTACATCAGTTCTGTCTTTTCTTGTTTCTCATATATCTGCATTGTCTCTATTTCTCTAACTTTATTTGGAAATTCTCAGAATGAGTGACATTATCTTCTCTCTGCCTAGTACATCAATGACGTTAAATGCATAATACTTCAAAATCAATACTGCTTTTTCTTTTAATAGTCATGAGATTTATCATCCCAGCACAATAACCACAGTTCAGAATGTTCTTGACATGCAATGACACAGAAGCTATGATTATTTTTTTATCACTGTTGGGTTGTTCCTTGCGATGTCATTGGGAACAAAAGTATGTTTTGATGAAGCTAAAGAGATTGTCACAGTTGGCCACTAAGCACCAGTCAGTAGCATCTAAACAGCTGAATATGAGCAAATTCAGTCTCTTGTGGAAGTCCTTCAAGTTTCTTCCTTCTTGTCTTCCAACATGCCTTGGGGGAGCAAGAATAACATGTTACCAGCACACCAAATAATGTTATTTTGTTATTTTTCTTAAATCATTGCCTTTTGGAAGTCTTTCTGAATTTCAGAATGCAGATCTGAGGTTTGCTAAATCCTCTTTCTGTGTTTCCCAAATAAAGAAGCATTAAAATGTTGAATGTGAGATAGTACATTTTCTAGATTAAAATGCACAGTGGATGAAGTCCTTGCTGTAAGCCTTAGTTTAAGTCAGTGGGATGCAGGAATCAATCTTTGTTTGGGAACTACAACTGAAGACCCAGTTTTATAAAAGCAAAACAGTTAGAGAAGCTTTTACAGTACCAAAATGCAATATTGGACTAACAGCTGGGCATTCATCTTCTATACTTATATTTCACCTGACCTAGAGGCAAAGCAGAGATATTACAGAGTTGCCTTGACTAGTTATTGATGTGGAGATCTGAGAGAACAAACTCTCAAAACCAGTACAACTTACTTTCTTTTACAGAAAAGTAAATAACATTATGACTTTAAAAATATTAACAAAATTTTTCTTTAATTTCCTATGCAGCAGCCCTTTTTTTGTTATAGTATGGTAGAAACCTAAATAGAACTGCCATGCTGGAAGCTGGATGACCACTGGATGAGGTCTCTTCATGTTACTCTATGAAAGCTGGAGTAAAAAGTGCAGAACTTGTTTAACAGAATGAAGCCACCAGGATGTGCTGAAAACACAAGCAATTCAGAAAGCTCTGCAGGAACTGGAAGAAAATGGGGACTTTCAACCAGAGCTACTGATCCTAGCACTATGGATGTTATCAGGAAACTGTTTTTGGAAACTGTCTTGATAAAAACACTGTGCTTTATAGAATGATTGCTGAAACTCTCTCATCTACAATATCTGCCTGGCTGAATTAATCTACACTTATCCCCAAAGAATATCTGATGCAAAAATGCAAGATGGTGAATGAGGAAAACTGCATGTTTTTATTGAGTAGGAACTTCTTTCTTCTGCAAAAACAATTCCACTCAGAAAAATCTCTTTGTTGACATAGTCATAAAAATGGTAGTTATGTTTTTAGTAGAGTCATTAGTCAACTTCTGGGTCTCAATTTACATCGATTCGTCAGCACATATAATCATTACAACTGTTAACTGTAAAACCTTAATTCTGTCTTCAAACTGTGAAGAGCTGAGGGTTTAGCTTTGGAAATTGTTGTTCCTTGCTCAGATTGGTCCAGACGACAGCTGTTGCACTCATAAAGGAGTAAGTGTAACTAAGACAGGTCCCCTTCAACCAGTAAGGCAGGTTACTGCTGCCTGAAGTTTTCATCTGGTGGGTTCAGGCAATCCTTGAACAAACACCCACCCAGGATGTCTCTGTGTCCTGTTTACCCACAGACAGTGCGGTGTGAGAAGAGCCTGTATTTATAAACCTCTCCTGCTGAAAAAAATTGCCCCAAAGCATTCCTAAGAATAGTGACTATAATTCTGCCTCATTTTTATTAGATTACATCAATTAAAAAACCAGGCTTTGTCTGTCTTTTCAGATTGTTTCTACTGCATTTTTAAACTGTTCATAAATCTCATGTGCTGCTGTAATTTAACAACCTAAAAGGAGGAAATAGAGAAATAAAGGTAGATTTGCTCTCCTCCAGATCTCTGTTTAAAGCTCATCAGGCTGAGACTCATATCAGTGTTGGTCTAGGTTTTAGTGTAATTTCACTTTGAGCCTTGAGACCCTCTGTAATTAAATTATTAAATTAAATTACATAATTGTACTGTCACTTTGCAGTATACAGTTTTCTTTAAATGCACATAGATGCTTATAATCATGTGTAATTATCAAGAACAAAGTTGAAAGCAGTTGGAAATAATTGTTGTTTCATTTAACATTTTAATTGCAAATATATTCAATGAATGTGTACATTGTTTCTTCCTCTCTAAACATTTTTTATTTCTTTCTAGATTACAGTCCCTGAAGTGAAGAGGTTTCAGGTTTGTGTCTTTCTTTATGACAACTAACACAGTAGGTTCTGTGGGACAATCACTTGTAACCATTCTTCTCTCTTACTTTCTAGAAATTCTACCTTGAATAATCGCCTAACAGGTTACAGTAGGATTTCTAGGGAATTTTGGAAACTGGGTAAATAGAAAATAATTACCTGAGTTGGAATGACACCCTAATTCACGTAGTATTCTTGGTTGCCTTCACAATATATTATTTAAATGTTACAAATTTTGCATCAAAATGTTACAAATGTTACAAATGTTGCATCAATACCGATGAATGTTCCTCTAGCAGGTTTGGCTTTTCTCTTACACACTTTCCTGTTGCTGGATAAGCACAGGCTTTAGAGCCAACAACTTCATCATTGTAAGAAGTCCTGGGGGATCCATACCACTCAAAAATGGTCAGGTACTCAGTATCTCATCACACAGGCAGCTTCACTGGCAAGAAAAGTGCAGTGTACAATACTGTACAGCACTACCTCCAGGGTGTAACACTGACTCTAAACCTCAAGGGACCAGACTGCACAGTGTCTCCCAAAAGCATTATTTCTTCCTGAGCTTTTTGCTGAGCTATCTAGAGTAAAACTGTGAGGTTTAGAAGAGGTGATGGCAGACATCAGCAGAACTGTGTTTGCTCTTGAGAAACCCCATGTTCAAAGTTGGTTCAGATTAGTGGGAAAAACAATTGCATGCCATCATCAAAAGGTTCAAAACCTCATGCCATATTTTCTGGAACAAAGAAATTCTGCAAATTTTAACCTAAAATGTTTCCTGTCACAGACAGAAGGGCTAAGCGTTTCTTCACACCATGAAATATGTATACTGTGCAGATGGTAGGAGGGTGGCAGGGAAGAGGGAAGCTCTTCTGTCTTTCCTGGGACCTTTTTTTCCCCTCAGGGAACATGTTCTAGTCCCTCGTGACAGTCTGTGAATGAGGATTGCTGCTGGGTTGCAGTTAGAAGTCTGCCCTCAGTCTTAAGAGAATGATGTTTTAGAAACCCCAAGGTTTTCCTTTTCTCCCCTATCCGCCCCCGGAAGGCTGTGGTGCTTTATCAGGAAGAAGTGTTTGGGGGAAATGACTGCTTTTACACTCCTCTTCCTCTGGCACATTTTGCTTTCCTGAAAGTTTTGCTTTCCCTGTGTGTTGTGGAAGAAAGCACATGACCCAACATGTTTCAAGTAAAATCATCATTACATGTACATTTTCATTAGGTTTGCTTTCTTAGTGAAAGATTTATAAGGAATTACACCCCGTGTGCAGTGTGATTGCCTATGATTTTTTATCATTTAAGGAATGTTGTGTCACTGTGAGCTGAAGGAGTCTAGAGCACCTAAATGAGCAACCCTTGAAAATAGGGAAAGAGGATTCCAAGAACCACTGAATAATCATGATGTCTAATCTAACTGCAAAGATTAACTATTTCAGAGGTCACCAGGCTTCTCTTAAATCTTTCAATCTGTTCTACTGCAATTTCTTTTCCAGGCTAATTACTTAAAGGTCTGAGCTAGAACTTAAGTTGCATTTTATTGG